TCTACAAAATTTGACAACAATCGGTCCAGCAGTTTCGGAGATTACGTGTCTAATAAAAATGGATGGACAGATAGACAGACAGACAGACGGAAACGGGAGACTATTCGTCCGATGGGCTCGATTACTATACTTCCTTAGCTTACGCTCGGCAAATAATAAGATTCAAAAATAATTCTATCATAAAAGAAGATTTTTTGGCACTCACCATAAAACCTATACTTAGGAAGTTGCAGGCGGTTCTAGAAGACTATTCTATGTATAATTAGAAGAGCATTTTGACTTTAAAGCGAAAAATTCTAAAATAATTTTATTCTATTTTGTTAGAGTGCCGACGGAAGTGGGGTTGAGAAGTAGACAACTTAAAGACACAGCAATTTCTGGCGTAGCATAAGTTTGAACTTAAAGACGACAATTGACGGAACTTCGCGAAGGTTTTGGATTACGCTATGTTAGGAATGTCGCCCTGGTTAATTGGTACCGGGCAGTTTTCTTCAAACTCTGAAAATATTGTTACGTTGGACGGGTATCTAAAAATCCGCGTGGGTAAAACTCAATAATTTATTTCTTAATAACTCGAATTTAAGCGACTAATTAGACAGCGATTATGTACAAAATAATTCCGACTGGAATGGAATGAAATGTTCAGTTAATTTTCGAAAATAGTTGAAAATGGTCGAGTGCCAAAAAGAGTCTTACCTTATCAAATACTAGCCCCGCCCACCCACCCTCTATTTTCTCAGAGAGCATGTCATTTACCAAAGTCAGTCTTATCTTAGCAAGTACTAGCCCCGCCCACCCCCTGTCTTCTCATTTTAGCGCCTAATTTTATTTGTGTTCAGTAGAAGATCATTCATTTCATTCGACCGGGTAAAAGCAATCATTGAAATACATAGAGACAGGGTAGGTGGGAGGGCCTAACTATGTTCTTCTGTTGAGTGGGAGTGGAAAAAGGATGTGAAAAAAAGTAAAAAACGCGCCAATAGTATTTCTTTGTTATACTATTTACTAAAAAATGTATTTCTTATTTTATGCACCTCACCTGACTTAACTTAACGTGACCTGACCTGTTCTGACTTTTCTATTGTCTCAAATAAACAAATTTTAAACATTTCTGTGAATATACAAAAACCACAAAGTACGTTCTTAAAATAATTGTATTTTGTGAAACTGAAATTAATAATTATTTTCTTTATTTACAAAGTTTTTATACTATTTTGACGGAACTGTAAAAATTTTCTATATTTCAATTGGCGATTTTGGAAAAACGGTAGGAATTTCCGAAGAAATGAAACCGAAAATGACTTCTCGATATCGAAATCAGTTTTACCTTATCAAAAACTAGCCTCGCCCACCCACCCTCTATTTTCTTGGAGGATATGTGATTTGCCAAAATCAATCTTATCTTAGCAAGTACTAGCTAGCTAAGATAAAACTGATTTTGGCACATGACATACCCTTTAAGAAAAGAGAGGGTGGGTGGGCGGGGCTAGAAGCTGCTAAAATAAGACCGATTTGCTTAGTTCTTAAACGTAGCAAAAGAACCAATTTTAAAATCATTATAACTCCACCAAACTGTGAGAATAGTTTTTTTTTTCTATTTTTTCCAGACTCACCAGTTGCTTGTTAAGAGCGTAGCAGAGTTAATCCGCTATTTTCCAGACACCCGGTATAAAAGGCTTAATTGAGAACGTGTGGATAAAGTTTTAAAGGTTCCACTCCAAAATACTAAGTAGTCTCGAAAATTTTGGTAGTAAAGAGTACGTCAGTCGAAGAATTCGACGTTACAAAGAACCGAAAGTGGCAAGTTAGGGTCTTGGAAGATATTGAAAGCAATATGCCCAGCGAAGAAGCGTTAGAAAAAAAATGACGATGACGTCAAAATATACCGCCCTCAAGACTGTAAGTAAGAAAAGAAAGAAAATGAAGAGCAAATATTATGTAGATTACGCCTATTGATTATTTATTATTGACTTACCATAAGGTTCGAACTAAATCAATATTAAAATACAGGGAGAAATTTCACATCAAAACAACTAGTATTAGATCTGATCAAGACTAAGGTAAGGGAAAGGCAAGAGTGCAATGGTAACGGTAGCGTCAAGAAACGAAAGAGCCCCAGAAAGTGGCAGAGCTTTAAAGACAATTTGAGTCTATAGTGATTAGGGGAAGATATTTTTGATTGATTCAAAGAAAAAAGGGTGTTAATAGTTAAACTAAGGTTTCCTATTTAACATTAGTAGTTGAGTTCTGGAACCTTTGACCATAATAATTGAAAAGAACACATCAAAACATAAGGAGCCTTGTATTATCGACCGCTGCCACCTCATTAAGCATTAACCACTAAACATTTGTTATGACTACAACTTCATGTTCTTAATGGAAATAGCGAGCTCAGACAGACTGGATCACACATTATTCCCACTTATTCACCAGACATTATTACAGCTAATTCGTTTCCTTTTTTCCAGCTCTTCGTGAGAAAGTCGCACCAGGAACCCAATTACCAAACCCACTCGAACCGTCTCAAACCGACTTAAACACAAAATTACCAGATTTCACTCCTCATTGTGACTTTGACATTCATGACAGTCGCGACATGTCCAAGTGCATCGACCGTGTCAGCTAGACCCACCCACTCCGGATTATTTTAAGCTCGAATAAAGCGTCACCCACGTTTCTCATCTTTTATTACCCAACACTCGAAATTTACAAAAAAACCAAAAAAACCTCTTAGACATTTCCACTCCACATCGACTTTTCCTGAACTTGAAATTCGTCAAGTTCAAGGCTAAAAAAACAAACGCAGATACGAATCGAACTACTGCCAAAAGCACCACGTCTTGCAAAAACGATAATTTGTTTGGGCGGAATCGCGGAAACGAGAAAAATTAGCCAAGTCTTTGTTCACGCTAACACCGGATATGTTGTCGCATATCAGTCATGTAACATGGCATTAGCATAATGCAATTGAAATATCTACTAGAAGAAGTAGATTCAAGGTTTGACGGTGAAAGCATAAAAATATTCTTTCTTAAGCGCGCACGGTTGCAAAAGTGGGTACTAGGTTTACGACACATGATGGTAAACGGAAAAAAAACTATAGACAATTTTCTCCATGAGACGAAATTAACTTCGTTGCGTCTCGTCTTTGTCTCGTCCTCTTTCGCAGTTAATTTATTCGGTTTCTTTTTGTGGTATCAGCAACGTAATGTACTTTTAAAGTAACTTTTTAATTATGTAATGACTCGGTGCATTCATTGTTATGTACTGTGGTGTTGTGCAACAATTAATCAAAACTGTACGAATGTAATAATTTAATTGTTAGAAACAAATAGAAACAGGTTTGTGTTAATGATTCCACTAAGCACCATTCAAGATATGAATGCATTTATTTAAATAATCTTAAATAGTTGCGTTGCAAAACCAATGTTATCATCTGCATTATTCAGCTGTGGGAAATTTTCTCTTTGTAAAACTATGCACTAGATTTTACTACGCTGATACAAACAGAAGGTTACCTTTAACATATATTACGCACATTTTTTACTTAAATCCGGTGATAATAGACAAATGTAAAAATGAACAACGTTTGTCTAACATAACTATTGGCCAAATCAACGCATGGTATCGATCGACTTTTTTTACATATTTAATGTTAAACGCTCAACAGCTGACTTCAAACTTGAACCAACACTGTAGACCCTTTTTAAATTTTCACGACGTGTTCAAAACATTTGCAAACTTTTAAAAATTCACTCGTTCCCTCAGACAAAAAAATAATTAATAATTCAGAGCGACTTTGAACTTTTCTTAATTAGACTCGTTTAAAATGCTAAAATGTTTAAGCATAGCGCGAATTATTTTCGACTTTTTCAACAGGGTATGTTAAATTCCGTTTGTCACTGGAACTGAGTAATCGAATATATCAAGGCTAAACGGAATTGCCCCAGCTTTACGGAATCAATTAGCACCTTAAAACTAACAACTACAAATAAAATTAACAAATTGTTTTTATGCTTCTGTCAATAATCAACCATTTAGATCGAGCGAAATAAGAATGTTAATATTAACTCTTCTTTTTATGTTCTTGTCAACAAACAACTTTTGTAATAAGACAACAATCAAATGTCACTAGACCCGACTAGAATTAATAATGCGAGGGAAAAAAATCCATTGGGTGTTTGAACCCAGCTGTAGCCATTACGAGGATTTGACAAAAACAATCGCGTCATTTTTTAGCACTCTGACCATAATTAGAGGCTGACAAATGCGAAAATAAGCGTACTGTTGAGTTCGTCTGAGTCTAGGTAATACTGAATTACAGAATTTAAATGTTCACTGATTAAAAGAAAATCTTCAAGAAATTATGTTGTTTACTTGTCTTTGTGGCCTTTAAATATTCCTTTAAACAAATTATCTTACTCGAGTCAATTTATGGAAACTGGTTGCAATTCCATGAAAGAACAGTTAAACAGTGAATATGTATGGGTTGGTGTTGATGAAACTATCGATAGTACGTACAAAGCCATGCAAGTATAGTGTTGATCCTTTAAATACCAAGCCTATTTCAGATCATGACATCTACACCTCTTTTATTCTCTCTTATTGAAGTTTACACAATTTAAATTAAAAAACCTTGGTGTGACTGTGATAGTCATGGACAATGCTCCGATGTGAAACATCCTGAGATACTTCAGGTCACGCTTCTGAGAGCGAGGGAAGTACTGTTTAAACCAATTTTTTTTATCTAATCTTATCTAAAGCTCTGGCTGTTAAGAATATTTGTGTTTCCCTGTATTGCTAATAGCATATGGTATTATTTTTTTAGTATGCTCGTAGTCTATAGAACATGTAAAAAAATGTCAACTGTATCAACTTGAAATAGATATTCAATTCAGGATGAAATTTACGGAGTACCGCACCATCAAATTACCGAACAATAATTACACCGACTGACCATGCCCTCGAGCCAAAGAAAAATGACCAATTATTTTTCCTACCTGAATATGTTGATTTCGACGTTTCTAATAGCTTAAAAGTGAAGGGTATGTGGACTTTCATCATGTTCATCTGAGGTATCCTGGGAGAAACTTGGTGCAGTGAATTCGGAAAGACGAAATCGTCGCCGTGCACTCGCAGCACCATCATGTTTCTGAAAGAAAAAAAAAAATTACAACATTTTATCTAGAACACGTGATACTACTGCACGTTTGTAATAAACGAAAAAAAAATTAATTCCGATCAACGCATCGGTGTATTTTTCGCAGGGTGTTGAACTTTTGGAAAAAAAAGTGCGAACCATTCCGGAGTTGACATAGATAAACTTCCACTTCATTTTTCATTTGCATAATACAATAATAACGCAATAAAAATGTTCCAACTGGCTTGTACTAATTAACGAACCTGTCTTTAGTTAACAAACACGTGGAGCAATGCGCCGCAACTATGAATTTTTTTTCGAATGTTTGAAATAGTTGAAGATATTCTCTTTCATAACAGTAAAAGTCGCACCTAACTGCATTTTTTAGAGGAATAAAAATATTGCTACTTAATGGTCCATAAAAATATTGTTTTTTTAAGGTTGTGTTTGATGATAAATATAGGTATGTGTTAAGTGTTTTTCAATGCGTTTTTTGTTACAGAAAATCGCAGTAACGGAATAATTCCCTTTTTTCTGAGCTTGTAATTTTTTTTCTTAGTCATCTACGCTTAAAATAGCACAATTAATAATTTGAAAATTTTTATGGCCTATAAATATAAAATATACCGTTTTTACCGCTGGTGTTTGATTAAATTTGGGTGTGAAACTGTTTACTCGATAGTTTTTGTCGCCTAGTTTTTCATTCAAATAACTGACTAGACGCTGCAGCGAAAATCAGACGATTTATACAACAGCTAAGACGATTTTATGCAAAAAAATTTACAAAAAATATGTTAGCAGTTCTGTTTACGGTTAACTCTTCGTATTTTATTCCAAGTCTGGGTAACCTAGTTCAGGCAACACAGATTTGTCTATGACCATAATTTTATTCCTTCAAAAAAAATTCAGCTATGTATTGACTTGATTTTTTGTAATTAAAATTTTAGAAAAAAATCTCACGGATAAATACAATTACCAAAATCAAGTAAAATCTAAGGTCGGGATCTTGACATGATTTTCACGATTTTCAGCAAAAAGTCAAGGTTAAGTTTGTAAACAGGATAACATTCAGTTTATTTTTCTGTCCTGAAGTACATAGGAATGCTGTTTTATTCATCACTCTTCACAAAAATGCATCTTGCAATGTACATTCCTGCGGGTTTTAAACTTGTACGATTTTCATTTTTATAATTCCAGTACTTGGCAAGCCTAACGAGCAACATTACACAAATCGGTGCAAAAAATTATTTAGAAACGCCCCTGAGGTACAATAAAAAATTATACTATACTAATATTAACATACATTTTGATTTTTTTTCCAATAAATTTGGTTGTCTGGGGAAAAATCAAGGTAGAGTCATAAACCACAAGTACAGAAGTATGCTATTTTATAAAATTTTATCTTTTTTTTGGGTTTGGACGATCCACAACCCTGTTCAACACTAAAGAATTAATAAGGAACATTTTCTTCGTTCACCCCTACTCCAAAACTGATGATGTCATCTTAAAAAATTACTAAGTAGTTGTTTATTGGAAGATGCTTTGGAATGTGGCCTTACTTGCACTTTAAGATAATGCTTTCAGTTTTTACAAACCTCTAAGTTCTTGGAACCAAAAGTTTAGAACAATGTCAATCTCCATAAAGAAAATAAAAACAAGTATAATCATGGATTGGGATCTTGATAAGGATGTACCGGTTTTTTAACAAAAAGTTTAATTCTTTAAAAACATTATTTTGACATTTATACTTTCATGTCTTGAAACGCTTTAATTATGTTGTTTATTATTTTGCAAGATGTAAATTCTTGTACTTAATTATTTTTATATTTACACTAATTTGAATACCTGTATGCATTATTAAAATATTTATATGAAAAAAAATCACAGAAATAAATATCCAAATTCAAAAATTAATAACTATTTATAAACATGTTGGAACAACAAATTTGACCTTACCAAAGTCATACATGGTCGTGAAAAATTTAAGTAAATTTGTCTAATTTTAATTTCTGAAGAAATTCGTTTAAAAACCAGCACTTCCTTCTTAAATAATATATATTTACAGTGATTTTTATATTTTTTCTTATGCTAGACCACCATGTTAAAAATAGCACAAGTTTGATTTCTAATTTCGATCTGTATAAGAGTTTTCAGTCACCAAAAAGGGCGTAGCTCTTGAATAAAAAAAAAAATAATTAAATTTTAAGTATTTTAGAAAACTTTTTAATCATTTTATATACCTTACAGAATACTTTGCAATCCATTCTAATTTCAAAAAAAAAAGGCTTGACAGTTTCCAGTATCAACTTCAATGTTCTAAAAATGCTTTCGGTCATCAACCACAAAAAATTTTCCACAATTTTAGCCATTCAGTTTTGACAGGCAAAAAAAGCTCTCAAATTATCGAGTCCGATTGGTTTTGTATCACATCAGGGTTATTAACAGCAATTTTAATCTGTCCTTCAAAAACTGGAGATTCCCATGTTTTAAGTACTTAATCCTTTCTAAATTATATATTAAAGAGAACAACGTACAACACTATGCCTTCGGCGCGGAAGCAAAAACTCGTCTAGTTCGCCTACCCAATCGGATAACTGACACACGTCATGTTATACAACTCTGATCTTGATACTTCGGAGATTCTTTCATTCATGTTAGCTCCAACTGTATTATTAAAATAAGTCGATAATTTCTGCATTTTTTTTACATGTTCATTTTTTATTTGTTCTGTTGTAGCTGGTGTAACAGGTCGAAAATTAATTTATTATTATTATAGTTTCACACTCTGTAAGTGCACGCCCACCCAAGCTTTACTGAAGTTCTTTATTACCGACCCTAGAACTAACTACGCTTTAGAATCCACAAGCCAAATTGTTTCCTTGCAAATATTTACAGAGTAAATTTCCTTCTGTAAATTACGAGATTAGTCCTAACGTTAATGTTTCGCACTACAATTTTCTTATATTTTCATAGTTCTCTGCGCAATTTAATAAAAAAAACACACTTAAGCAAAAGCAAATAGTACAAAATCGTTTAAAAAAAATTATCAAAAAAAAGACTTCATAGGGAACCGCTTTACCTTGGTCCATGATTTGTCTGTTGGCGGTAGTTCTCAAGTATAATATTTATTTAAAATTTTTACGAGCAAAAAATTGTTTTTAAATATCTACTACCAAAAACGACTGCAACAACACTGATAAGTACGGTAAGCGTATAATTTACCTGCGAAACACACAAAAACGAAGGCCTTAAATAGGTATACCTCAAGGTGACTTCGCACTCCTATATGTTTTTTGATTTTTTGGTCTGATCTGATTTTCCTCATTGGTGAATAATCCGTATGTCAAAAAACTTGTGTAAACGACAATAAATGGGAGCGCGACTCAAATAATCTTGATCTTTAACGGATTTGGAGATGTCAATAAACACATTAAATGTTAATTAAACGGAGGTTATTAATTTTTTCTAAAAATAACATAAATACACAACGGATATCGGCGTAATTGAAAATTTTCCGGCTCTTTTTGGGCTGAAGTTGCAAAATAACCACTGACAATTCTGTAATAATATTAAAAATAAATATTTAAGTTATCAATATCTTCGAATTACAATTTTAGCCCGAAGTAGTTGAGCGTTTTTTATAAAACACTGTTCTCAAACGACGGCACATTTATAAATTGGGAACAGGACCGGAACGAGTTTACATTGTATCCAAAAAAGGACGCATTGTCTGCTTCACTTTACCATGATTAATGATCGCCCCGACAAAAATGCGCTACTAATTTACTTTTCCAAAACAATGATCGCAACCTTGAATAACGAGATAAGTATGACGAGTTCACTCAAAAAATACGTTCATATTTCACACCTTTATCGCATGCCACCTAATCATAATACAGCTGCTTAATTCACAACCTAATTCGTGCACGCAATCGTAAATCTCCAAATGTGAAAGGTTGTACACTTGCCTGTCGAGCTATGACTCTTTTGTAATTTTTCTAGGATAACATTCAACGAAAAAAAAGTGGGTACTACACCAAAATTCGAACTTTTTATGAACAATCAGAAAAATATATCTATACATAATTATAACAGTGAAAACCGCGAGTTGTTAGTGTTCGCGGTTTTCAAGCTGCGTGTTATGTCATAGTTACATCCTGTCAATTTGGGATATGAGACGGAGCGTCTAAAAAAAGTTGTGTTTTACCACATTATTCTATTTGATGCAGTTTTGACGTTTATCGGCTTAGAAATATACAAACATAAGCACGATGTAAAAAACAACATAAAATTGTGAATTGCTAAAAAATAAAAAGCTAAAAACTGCACTCCTAGAACTCGAAAATGATGAAATTATTTTAATTTTCTAGACATCGAAACACCAGTTTTGCAAATTTAATCTTGTGGAAAATTAGTACTACATTGTTCAACAGGTGAATAACGACGTAGTGGTATAAAGTTATAAAACTGTAACTTGACTCATTATTCATTAATAAAAAAGTCATAAATCCCGCATTTTATGACAACTCAATATTTAATTAAAGACTTGTAGCATTTATGTCCAAATCTAATTTAAAATTCACATCGTGGCTTGTTAAACAACATTTATCTGATTTTGATAATAAAAGTTCGATAACATACAAACCTGCTAACATATTAAGTTAGTTTTTTACTTGTTACCAGGTGTGTCGTTTTGTCTTGTTTACTGTTAATCCATTAGTGTTTAGTTCCTCCCGGTATTTCAGTTTTTGCCCGTTTTTTACATAGTAGCACATTCGAGCCACTGAGCTCTTTTTTATCCGAAGAACACCGCAATACATTGAATTTCTCAGCTTGTTTTCCAGGCTAGTGCACTATTACAAGTCCTAGCATCACTATGTGAGAAACAAAAGATGAATAATATAAAATAATTAATTATGTACCTCACTTAACATTTCAAAGTATAATTCCTTTATTTTATCAAAATTTCTTAAACATTCATTTTTTTAAATAAAATTGTAGCTCTAAAAAATTGTACTTGCATTACAGAGTGTTAAAATTATCACTAAACCCATATAAGCTGATCTTTTTATTTTAAACCTGTGTATTTGTTTATGGTATGAGATAACCACTGCAACAACCATTAACAATGTGATACAATATTCATCAATTATGAACACAAAAGTCTAATAAAAAAAAAAAAAAAACTGGGGATGCCTTATTGCTCAACGCAATATTAAACTTGGCTTTTGTTACACATGTATACCTACAATGAAAGATAATACAACAATGTTGAAGGTGAACCCACTCATTATTTTTAAATATGTAGATGCATACTTTAACAGCTTTAGTTACAAATTTGTAACTACAATATTTACCCCATATGACGCAATATTTTACCAATGACTGTGATTTTACATTCGTACGTCACTAATTAATTTCACAAAACAACACATTTTTAATTCACGTCTTTTTTTACATGAAGATATCAAAATATTTACACATGCAACGAGTTGCTGATATTGTTTGAAGGTTTTACTTAAGTCTTTGTTAAAATAATACAAATACAAACAACAAAATTTTACAAGATTTTGGTGGGAAAACTAAATTTGGTTGACTTTATCTTCTAAAACGTCCTTGTTTCATTCTGCATGTCGTATTTACCATTGCAACGTGCATAAGACAATATTGCTGGAAATTTTGCAAATTTTTTTTATCCAAAAATTTTAGGTAAACGTGTCGGTTGATCAAAAAATGAAAGAGATAAGTGTTTTTTTTTTAATGAGCCAACCTTCCAACGGATGGAGAATTTTTGTTATGTGGTCTTAAGTCAAAATCTGAACTCATATCTTGTGCTTTACTTTTCGTTGTGTCATTTTTCTTAGCAACAGCAGCTACGTGTATGTGATAAACTCTACAACAAACACTTCCACAAAATCGCTACCAAATTCTCAAAAAATAACCCTCAGTGGAACTTTGTCCATAAACAAAAACAATCTTTTACTGAAAATATAAGATTAATTCGTTGCACGGAAAGCGCGTATGCCCGGAATATAAACACCTGATTTAAGCCAAAATCAATTATTCACAGCAGGAAAAAGCGATAATGCCGGTGGCAACAATTTTTCAAATGTAAGTGCAATCGGCGTTTTTTTTGTAATTTAAAGCAACGTGCACTACAACAAAATCAAATGGTAATTTTCATAACAAACTGGAATATCGCTTCTAGTAAAATCGTGTTAACAGTGTCGCAAGAATCGACCTATACTATGGAAATTTTTAAAAACTGGAAAAGTAAACACAATGAATCACTCCAAAATAAATACGACACGGTTTTGCAACACCGTGTCTTGGGCCACCCCAAGGCCGACGTGCCAAGGGGGCGATTTTCACTCGCGCGACAATTGGGGCAATTTGCGGCCCGACGCAATCATGTCATTGGATGCAATTTTCCCATCAACGCGGCGGCCGCTTTCTAAGGGGGCTGCCTAAAAATAAACAATAACAGACCTTGTGATGAACAGGATCATCGCACAAAAACATAACAGCACTGCGACTACGGAAAAAATGTTTGATAATTCAGCCGCGGACACCAGTAAAGTAGTCATTGTCACCATGTCTTCGTACATGGAGGAAGGAGTTATAACATCTTAGCCACACTCAACACATGACAGCGAGGAACGGACTGTTTTCGGAGTTCTTGCACGGTTAATTTTATTTTGCATTGCTACTTGACTAGGGAAACGTCACTTTTGACGTTTGGAGGAGGGCGGTCACGTGGCATAGCAGCACCACTGCCAATCGTAGAAAACCAAACAACTTGTCAACTAAAAATTAAATGAGCTTATTTATAAATATTACGCCCTAGATATGTAACAAACGGTGCGAAAATAAACTGCTATAAACGCAACAGAATAAATGAAATGTAATTTGCCAGAAATATTTCAAACGTAAATCAAAAAGAAAAATGTACGGACTAGGCAACCCACTATACAAACCACATTTTCTTAGTTTTACGTGGTAAATCCAAATCTGTCAGTTTGTGAACACTTTTGTGATTTAATTGTAAAACAAATTAGAAACACAAATGCACTATTCAAGTGAGACAAGTTAAAAATTCCACTTATCACTCAAATTCTGTAAAAAGAAATTTATTTTAAAACAATTTATAAAAACTCACAAGACAGTGTTGATAATACTAAAATAAAAGTGGATAATACTACCAGCTTTAACTGTAATATATATATTTTGTTTACATGTTTATTTCTCAACAATTAAAGATTTCGTGTAAAGAAATTATTCATAATCGTCAACACAGATTGTTCTTATACCAAGATTTCATTATCAATGGTTTAGAAAATGGATTTCTTTATGATCCTGTCATGATATCCTCGGGCGTTCAACAGGGTGTGCCCTGTGGTCCATTTTTATTTTTGTTATTTATTAACGATATTTTTAGTATTATTCAATATTTAAAATAACTTTTTGTTGCGGATTATTTGAAGATGTGCAAAGCGATTAAGAACCTAAGTCACTGTATGTTACTCCAAAGAGCAGTTCCCAGCATGGTACAAAGTCTTCTTGTATGTACCATGGTTCCCAGTACAACATTGCATTTTGATAAATTCTAGCCATTTGAATGGATATAAAATCTTTTTGTCAATTTATGTTTACTTTAGTTGGAGGTTTTCCGTAATAAAGTTTATTGTCAGCATTATTATTATTCTAATAAAGTAAACTCCCGGATATGCAACCAGCAAAACTCCGTCTTGTGTTTACTATGTCAAGGTCGCGCTTGTCAAATATGTCAAAGGGCACTGTTTACCGTCTAAAATTAAAAATGAATCATAAATAAACTTCCACAACATCGGCAGTGCTTCATGTGATCAAAATGGACCACCGGTCGCCCCTCGAGAGCATCTTCGGCATCATTGGGGGCTTGCCCCAGGGGCACGACAAGCCCGTCAAGCATGCCCTTTACAACGCCGTGGCCCTGCTGCTGCTCGTCCTGTGCTGCGCCGCGGCCTGGGCCCTTTTTCTCATCCTCGAGCCCTTCGTCAAGCCGCTCATCTGGGCGCTGCTCGTGGGCTCGGTGCTGCACCCCCTGAAGCGGTCCCTGAGGGACCGCTTCCAGGCCTGGTTCGAGTCGCTGGAGGTGGCCCACACGCCCATCGTGCTGGGGGTGGTGCTGCTGCCCATCAACATCATCAACGACCTGTCGGACTTCATCGGCGACCAGATAGTGAAGAGACTCAAGTTCATTGTGGCTGTGTGTGTGGCTATTCCGGTGGTCCTGTTGATATACAATTTCACGCCGAAGCTGATTGTGTGTATTTTTTATAAAGCGTACCTTTACAGTTATTTCGTGCTGAATTTTTGCCTGGATAATGCGAGTTGGTGGCCGGTGAGTATGTGGGGGGCGAGGGATGGGTTTGAGAGTTTTATTGTAGGTCGGGTTGGTGCTGGTGGGGTACTTTTCGCTGATACTGGTGTTCTGGAAGCCGGAGAATAACACGAAGTTTCATTATACGTCGATTGCGGTGTGGTTGCTGTTGTCATGTTGTTTGGCTCATCAATGTGGGGGGTTCCAAATGCCGGCCTTTATTTTTCTCCAGGTGGTGTTCTTTGGAGGGTTTATCAGTGAGGTTTATGATATTCATAACGAGCTAAATGCTGAAGGTTCATTCTCATGTTTTTGTAAGATCACAATTAACTGATTGATTATAGGTCATTCTATAACATTTTTCGAATCTCTATCCATCGCCTTCCACGACAAGTCCTCTGAAGCGGACGAAGATAGCGACGACAACAAACGACCACCATGTGATATCAAACAAAGCCCTGAATTAGCTCCCAGCGTAACCTCTCGCGAGAAACTCCTTCACCACATTGAAGTAAATCTCGCAAAACCTAACCTCCTTAAAATAACCAAACTTTTTCAAGGGCCAAGAAACATCTGACTCCTCTTTCAAATCAAAACCCTCTTCAGTCAAATTCGACGAGGGTGTCGGCGACACGCCCCAAAAATCAAAACTCAAAGACCCTTATTCCCTTGAACTCTTTGATGAAGAGAAAAGTGAAGTTCTAAAAAGAACTGATTCCGAACTGAGTAATACAAACATTCTGATCACAAATAAGGGGATACATTTAATATCAAAAGACATCCTGAAAACACAGTCTAAGGAATTAAAGCGTTCCTTATCGCAACCCCAATTTTCCAGCGGCGCTAGATTAAAAGGACGTTCTAGTTTGCTTAGCTTAAATAGACAGTTTAGTGCGAAAGGATCCACTCAAAGTTTACTTGATACAGAAAAATACGAGAGTACTTTTTACCTCTACTCGGTTCTGTGGGCGTGCGTTGTAATGCTCTTTTGGAAAAACATAGTTCTTTTACCGTTGCTACCTCTACCCATTTTACTGTATTGTATCAAACATGCCGGGAAGTATTTCGGGTTGTGGAGTTGGTTGTACGAACGACAGAGGAACGCAGTGCTTGCTATTAATGACTGGTGTAATGAAAGACACGACGCTTTAGTACCGGTGCCAATTCGAGGCTTATATAGAGTTGTCCATAAAATTAATACGTTCCTCAAGACGAGTGTTAAAGAAAGTATTGATACAGTAGCGAGCTGTGTTGTGATTTTAGGATTAATTATTTTTCTAACGTGTGCGTCTATTTTTATAGCGGTTCAGGTATGTGCGTTGTGTATACGAACGGTTACGGGTTGTGAAAGTTTTTGTTTTAGATTTATGCTGAAGCGATTATGCTGGTGCAAATGACTGGTAACGTAATAAACCAGACGGTTGTTCATAATCCGGAATTGAGGCAGCTACTGCCGCCGGCGTGGGATGATACCGTGGATTCCATTTTGGATAACGCGTATCAGTATGGACGGGAAGGCATTTCCAAAGCTGTGAGTATTTAGTGGTAGGTGACTCGTTTGAAGTCTTTTTGTCTTCTGTTATGTTAACTTCACCAAGATTTGGTGGTCTGAGTACGTTCAATTGTAATCACCTGCTAGGGCTCAGAACTGAAATTGGCAGTTTCAAGTTCAATGATCCTTACCGTAACAATTCATATTGTGATCACTCAAACATTCCGCCTTAAATTCACATGTGAAATAAAATGAAATCCCGCGAAAAATTCAAAAATTTGGCCTTGTAGCACGAGCGGAGTTTGGGGCTCCTGGTCGTGGCTGTTCTCCTCCCACAATGGTGATTCTATCAGCAAGCAGTGCCGCCCAGCACCTCTCAATCACGAAGAAACGTGCCGCGCGGAAACCAGGCCGTTACGGTCGCAAACTCGTGGTTGGAAATTCCGGCTGTTGGGTCAAGCCGCGAGGGTCACGTCATCCCGACCGCTTCCCTGACTTCTATTCTAAATCTGCGTCTTTTGTGCAGATGGGGCAACCGCCAGCTCGACAAGGAACCGCGCACTCCGCTTCCGCCACGTGCTATTGTGTTCTTTACCTCAATGCCGAGAAGCATGTTGGTGTAATTTTCCACGTTGCGAGAAAATATGTCTCGGTGATATAGCTTTCCACATTGCGAGAAAAATGTCTTGGTGATGTGATGAAAATAACTGCCTAAGGGGAAAAATTTAATCCCCCCGTACCTTTGTGCGCAATATTATGAATTCTACCGCACTTTCACGGTCCTTTTCCCAGAGTGGGACAACGTTGGGTTAATTTAACTGCCGTAAATGAACAATCTTCCTTGTTCATAATTTGATAAACAAAGGATGAGTCCGGACGAAGTGAATCTCATGAAATCTCCTAGCAAGTACTGTTTATCTGAACAAATCTCACGACAGTTAACGATTAAAATCCTAACATGAACTGTGAATTTACAAATAATGAAACAACTTTACACCACGTGTTGGCGTCGGTCGAAGATTCGCTTATTTCCGTTTGGAAAATCTGCAAGAATTAAGCGTGTTGGGGAAACTGGGGCGTCGTCGTCGTTACGATTAATTTTCGTTAAACAAATTCTCCCCATTTTTATTAACTATCAAACCAACTAAACTTAACTTAGCTAACTCACCACGTGGTTTCACTCACACCACACAAACCAAAAGTGACGCATCACGACCCTCTAGCCATCATATCAACTTCTACCAATCCTCCCAACAGAAATTCCCTAAGAGAGCTACCAACTACCAGAAAAGAACTAAACGTGCACATGGTTGCCGATGTTTAACGATTTTCTTGATTGATTTTTTTCAAATTCAAATTATTCACATGCGATTTGGCGCCAGTTTTTTTTCAGCGCGAAATTTTAATTCAAATTCGGTCACCACAATATCAAGGTGAAAATCGTGTCATGAGGTAGTAGTTGACATCGTTTCTTTTGGTAAATGAGAATTGAAGAACGGCGTCGGTTTCGGGCACCAATTTTTTTAAGTGGGACTACTAGAGCATCCGTTCATATATAAATAAGGAATAAACTATAGTCAGTAATAGTATATGTAAAGTCGCGATCTTTTCTATAGAACCACTCCCTAGTGTAAATTTTCAAAATTTGTTTGGTGTAAGTGACCTTGACGGGTTTCTGGGGGAAAACATATGTGTCAAAAATTTGACAGGTTAGATGGCCCCATTGTCAATGTAGATATTTTATTTTAATAAATAGATGAACAGAACATACAGTCTGCACGGGATACAGTGCGGCATAGCGGAGGGCAACCGAAACATTCGTGTTGTAGTAGTTTCGATTGCCGTATCAACTACCGCTACCAACCGCGTTCGGCGTAAAGTACTAGATGACAGGGCTACCAACTTGACTTTTTATCGAGTGGTTCCGTAGAAATGACCGCTACTGTATATAAAATATTACATGTATTTTAATACAGGTCAAAGGTATGATGACTGACGTCGATTCGGCGAAATCCGAAAAACTAGAAAAACAAATCCTGGAACTGTGGGACCGCGTTTATCAATCCTGGATGTCTACAGACGATGCCAACGGCCCTAAAGTCACCTCAGACGCCGTGCGAATGTCTTGGGAAAACTTCATGAGCGACATCCAGCGCTCTCCAGGTTGTCCATCCAAACCAACACATTTTCACTTTCTTAACCACCGTCTCCCACTTTTCAGAAATGTTCAACTTAAACGGAATCATCGACTTCGCCAAGCAGAACGTCGGCACTCTACTAAGCCTACTTGAATCCATCTGGGCAATCGTCAAAGGCAACATCGGTCTAGTCCTCGGCTCGTTCAGCGCCTTCTTGTCCGTGATTCTCGGTGGCGGCACCGCAGTCTTAAACTTCATCCTCAACGGCGTAAATTCACCACCCAACCCCAAAACTGTCAAAAACACCCTGTTTTCAGATCGTCTTCCTGACCACCCTGTTCTACCTCCTCAGCTGCAGCGGCGACCTCTACAAACCCGTCGAGCTGCTCACGAACTTCTCTTCCAGCGGACGCCGCTTCGGTCACGCCCTCGAGGGCGCTATCAACGGCGTCTTCAACGCCTCTTTCAAGATGGCCGCCTTCTACGGGCTCTGGACCTGGTTCATCCACAACCTGTTCGCCGCCAAGATCGTGTACCTGCCGTCGGCGTTCGCGACGATCTTGGGGGCGGTGCCGTTTCTGGGCACGTACTGGGCGTGTTTCCCGGCAGTTTTGGATCTGTGGTTGGCGCAGGAGCGCGGGATTGAAGCGATCTTGATCGCGGTGTTCCAGTTTCTGCCGACGTCGATCGTGGATACGACGATCTATAAGGAGATCAAGGGGTGAGTGGGTGCGAAGTTGGGGTTTTTAGTGATGGTGGTTTTCAGGGGGCATCCGTATCTGACGGGGTTGGCTATAGCCGGAGGGATTTTCTGTCTGGGAGTGGAAGGGGCGATCATCGGGCCGCTGCTGTTGTGCGGGTTGTATGTGGCGATCGATTTGAGTTCTAGTCTTTTCAAGGAGTCTCCTTCTGAGGAACCGCTGAATTTGACGCTGCAGTTGCAAGAGAGATGAGTGAGGGTTGGCTTCTTTGAAGTTTGGAATTTTGCCTAGCGTTAAGTGCACCGATGGCTTAGTTTTTTTGCATTTAATTCTTAATTTTGGAATACTTTTTGTATTTATTGTTATTTATGACGCGAGGAGTATTTATTTGTTGATTTTTTTTAAAGAAATAAACTTATTCGCTGTTGAGAGTTTCTTTTAAAATTATCCTGACATATTTTGTAAAATATGTTTTCTGACACTGCTGACATTTAGGACCGAAAATCTTAGGCTCTAAGAAGCGTTGAACGCTTAGGCTTTTAAGTCATTCAACTTTAATGTAGTTCGACATGTGAGAAGGTTTAGATTCTGTAAAGTCCATTTTCGATCAGATGATGTGATAATCCAAACATCCTTTAATAAAGCAAAGTAAAATCTGATTAAAGTAACTGGATGCAAATACACAAGTTATTACAGGCGTGTGGCGGCAAATTTAAAATTATGGCAGTCAACAAGAGAACAAAATTTTAATAAAAACTATGCTGCGGCAGCAGCACCAGAGCGTTATAAGAGTGTGGCGATCGAACTATGTCAATTTCATTCCAGAGCACAGCAAAAATACCTATAGGGGGCGTTGTAGCACGAGCGGAGTTTGGGGCTCCTGGTCGTGGCTGTTCTCCTTCCCACGACGGTGATTCTATCTATCGGAAGCACTGCCGCCCAACACGAAGAACGTGCCTAGACGAGCAGGCCGTTACGGTAGGAAACTCGCAGTTGGGTTCCGGCTATGGGGTAGAAGCCGACAGCGTTATGTCAACTCGACCACTCGTAAATTATATTCTAATCTACATCTTTTGTGTGATGTGCGCCAGCTCGACTAGGAACCGCGCACTCCGCTTCCACCACGTGTTTTTGTGTTATTTAACCTCAGTTCCATTTATATGTTCAATTCTTATAACTCTAATATTAAACTACAACTAAACAAGTGTCAAAGTTTCAAAAAGAGCATTAAACAACACTTAAATTCGGCATACAATCTTGTGAAATTTTGAACAACAAATAATTCTTATTTGAGATTAAGATTGGACATCAAATAATTTATATGGTGGAAACAAATATTCATCAACAAAATATTTACTTTAAAAAACTAGCAGATTTAGAAAAACAGAAGATCTGGTGTGAAATAAACTTGTGAAGATAAAATATTACGTGAGGTTAGAAACTGCAGAGCATGAAAGTTTACGTTTAAATTATACAAGAAAGAAAATTACTGAAGTTAAAATTGTGGGATGGAGAAATATTATTGTATGAGGTGAAAATTGCAAAGCTAACAAATTTACATGAGATTAATATTTGCCACACAACGATTCAAACAAAGAGTTACATTATGTTCAATTATGCCACACTTTATCAACAATTCAAACAAAAAATGTATATGATGTTACAATATGTCATGATCCAAGGGGTTGGTTACTTAAAACAATTTGTTTTGACGGTTTGTATCGTGGACTGTTTATTTCAAACAAAACACATGGTAAAATGCGTTTCGGTGATGTAATTATCCAACGTTGCCAGAAGTAAAGTGTCTCGGTGATGTGATGATGATAACGATGATAACTTTCTAAGGAGGGAAATATTTAATCCCCTCCGTGAGTCCACGATATTATATTATGAATTCTGCCTCATTTTTCTATGGTCTTTTCCACAGGGGGCAACGTTAGGTTAATTTACTTGCTGGAAATGAACTATTAGCAATCTGGTGTGAAAAATTAAGATGTGTTATAAGTATAGCATCCAGAAACGTTATTTGCAACTTTGTTAAACAAAAGACGGAATCCTGACTAAGTGAATTTCATGAAATCTCCTAGTGAGTGTTTATCTAAATAAATCGAATGTCTGTTAAATTGTGTTAGCACTAGTTAACGATTAAAATCTTAACATGAACTGTGAATTTACACACAATAAAACAAATTTACACAACGTGTTAGCGTCGGTCGAAAATTCGCATTTTTCTGATTAGAAACTGTGGCGTCGCCATCATTACGATTAATTGTCGTTAAACAAAGACTTCCTCCTTTTTGTTGACTACCAAAGCAACTAAACTTAACCTACTCACCACGTGGTTACACTTACAACACACACACCAAAAGTGACGCTTTCACCTTTCTACCAAGCCACCATCTTCAACCAACCCTCTAACTAAAATTTCAAGAAGAAATGCACACTACCCAAAAGCGCTAACGTGCACATGGTTACCTATTTACCTGTTTTTATTAATTTTTTTTTCTCAAATTCAAATTATTCAAATGTGATTTCGCGTAGCTGTTAATTATTTCAGCGCAAAATTTTTAATTCAAATTCGGTCACCACAATGATGAGAAAGAAATATTCGTTTTTACTAGAAACTTATTTAGCACTTTGTATTATGCTTATCTCTCTACTGTATGTCCCAATTTGAAAGTAAAGTAATGACGTAATCCAATTTTTTTTAACTCGGAGGATAATTTGTATGGATAACAAAAAAAAAAACGACAAGTCGTCTAATAATGTTATATTTAAAGGATTTTTAGTTTACCTTTTTCTCCTTTTGTCGCTTTTTGCGCCTTTTTTAGTAGTCACACTTTTTATATATTTTTTTTTGACTATTAATATATCCTCTAAGAAAATAGAGGGTAGGCGGGCGGGGCTAGTATTTGGGAAGATAAGACTGATTTTGACAATTGGATATTGTTAAGAAGAAAAAGCGAATCGAATCGAAAAATGGGAAAACCCAAAAATTGTAACATGGAAAAATTGTAAAGTTAAAAAACTGTAGTTTTGAAAAATCGAAAAATGAAAAATTAGGTATGTATCCAGAAATTGAAAAATTAAAAATGGAAACATTAAAAATTGAAAAAATTAAATTGAATACATAAATGAAAAAGTTTTAAAACCCAATAATTTAAAAATAGTAAAATTTTAAAAATCATAATTATTATTCCATATCTAAAATGAAAATCATAAAATTTCAAACCGAAAAATTGAAAATTTTCACATTCAAAAAAAAAAAAATTATAAAATCAGGACAATGAAAAACCGAAGATTTTAAAAAATAAAGAAAAATGTGATGAAGTGAAATCTCAAACTCAAAGAAACAAAAAAAAAAATAATCGAAAAATTGAAGAAATAAAAAATTTTAAAAAAATTATAAAATATAAACACTCAAGAATAACTGATAAAATAAAGAAAATAAAAAACTGAAACGAAAAACTGAAAATCGATAAACTGAAAAATTATAAAATGAAAACTCGAGAAACCCAAATCGAGTAACTGCAAAATCTAAAAATTGAAAAATTTGAAAGTTGAAAATTGAAAAACTAAAAAATTTAAACTGGAAAACTCGAAAAATTGCAAGTTGAAAAACTGGAAAAAAATAAAAAATTGAAGAATTGAAAAATTCAAGTGACTTCTGCTTCCCGAAATCTACCAGAAAATGTATTTAGTTAAATTTCGAAAATCGTCGAAAATGGGTCCAAATTTGCATAGTACTTGCAAAGAGAAGACCGATTTTGGCGAATGAGATGTCCTCTAAGAAAATAAAGAAAGGGCGGGTGGGCGGGGCTAGTACTTGCTACGAAAAGACTGGGTGGGGCTAGTATTTGTGAAGATAAGACTGATTTTGGCAATTGATATACCCTCTAAGAAAAAAAATTGAGAAACTTAAAAATCGAAAAAATTAATGCATCGAAAAATTTCTAAGAAAAAACGAATCGAATCGAAAAATGGGAAAACTCAAAAATTGTAACATCGAAAAATTGTAAAGTTAAAAAACTGTAATTTCGAGAGATTGAAAAATTGAAAAATTAAATATGTATCGAGAAACTGAAAAATTAAAAATCCAATTTTAAAAAATAAAGAAAACAAACGTAACGAAATAAAATCTCAAACTTAAAGTAACAAAAAAAAAAAAAATTAAAAATTCAAAAATTGCAAATAGAAAAACTGAAGAAATAAAGAATTGAAAAAAGACAAAATTATGAAAGCTAAACACTCAAGAATCGAATAATTAAATAAAGACAATAAAAAATTCAGTTAAATTTCGAAAATCGTCAAAAATGGGTTAAAATTTGAAGACCGATTTTTTAAGAGAATAAATTTGTCAGAAAAAAAAATAATTGCATGGTAATGAAAAAAAAAAATGTAATGCCAAGTTACACCATGGCCGACTAGTATAAAGATTATGGCCTGTTCAAAGGTACCATACGTGCTGCCATCTATTAATAATTCAAAAACGATAAAAGAATTATTAACACTTTTTGAAAGGCACAAAGGCATTCATACCGAAACAAACGACCATTACACGTTTTGAAATCTCATAATGTCAAATCAAATTAAAATTTTGCTAAATTATTAAGTGTAATTATTAATAGATGGCAACACGTATGGTACCTCTTGGACAGGCCATAATCTTTATACTAGTCGGCCATGGTTACACATATATTATTTTTCAAAATTTAAGCAAATTTCAAGGTCGACAACTTACCAGTGTAGTTAGCGGAGATCACAACCCTTGCAAAACTGTAGGGTCGCGGACGTTACAGTAAACAACACGTTTTGTTGTACATTTGTGTTGTACTCGTCTATAATATTGTAAACGAAAGAAAATGTAACTAAATAGTATGTTATATAACAGAAAACACAGAAGTTACATTGCTTTCACTCTCATGTTTCAACACTGCTGCTGTACATAGCAAGGCCTTTAGAGCCGTTTGCATTGAGGGCATAATGCTGATTGTTGTTGACATTAAATGCCAAATGAAAAAGTGACAAGCTGACAAGTTATTAGAAAAACATTCTGATTCAGAATCATAATCAGAATCGAGAGAAATTATGATTGGTGGTATGTCTTCATATGGTGCATTACCCCATTAAACGCTTCCAATCATCCATGATCAGCCGTTCACAATGTCTAATAATATTTTGCCATTTGTCTGCACCTACTGTAGCAAGAGCCTCAAGCCATAAGGACTGTACAACACCAATAGCGCCACCGTCTTCCCGAATATATTTATTGTAATATAGTTTACACTGTTCCCACGCCAGTTCAATTGGAAAATACTGACAGTGGTAGGAATATTGAAAAATAGGTGGATAATTCCTCTTGCTCTCGTCATTTACCCTAGACATATTTATAAATCTGTTCTTTTAGGATCTCTGCTGGGTGCTTTTAAGTTGTTCTTTTAACTTCTCCACTTCGTAAGAACATCATCTATCATAAATATTGCGATAGAACGCGCTCATAGAAACGATTCAAATTTAATACGGTTCTTGACGTCTCAACTGACAGATCAGTCACTATTGCATTGTCGATAAAGTAAAATAAGGAGGTGTAAAAAAATACTAACATACACAGTTAAGAGTAAATTTTTGGGTTTTGCTACTAAAATTTGAAACATAAATAATAAATTAAATTGTATCAAGTGATACCGATGTCAATACTTTAGCCACGTCCACGTCAATACGTCAACATAACCTCAAAAACCGCTGTCACTCTGACACCCCTGTCAGAATGGATTAGTTAACAAAATAACAACACTATCTCAAAAATGGTATCAAACGGCGATAAATGGGTCCGCATCTTCGACATCCCCGAAGTCAGCAAACACAGAAAGGGTTTCACCATTTACAAGGTCATTTCGATGGTAATGAATAAACAACCCCTTTGCCCTCTTATCAGTATTTAACCCATTAGCTGTACCCGGAAACGTGCCCAGACGCGATAACAAAAATCACCGTGTGGAAACGTTTCAACGACTTCAAGAAACTCCATCGAGAAATCAAAGTTTTACACAATAAACTCAACATCAGGGACAAGTATCCGAGCTTACCCAGTTCGACGTTTTTCAAAAGGTACCGTACAACAATTAATTCATTAACCACATTTCGGGCGTTTAGATTCGACGAAGAAACCGTCCAAGCGCGGAAACAAAGCATTCTGAATTTTTTGGAGTACGTGGGTTACCACTCGCACCTATTCACTTCAAACGAGTTCGTCAAGTTTTTCGAGTCGAGTCACACCCCCGTCGAGCAACTGAGCAGTAATATTAACTCGATACGAGCTGACTTGAACTTGCCGGAAGACCCTGAGTACTACATGGGGAATTCTGATGATGATCGTACAATTAGCGACACAGACTCTATAACAACCGTAAGTTTTGTTATTGATTTCATAAATTTTTGTTATTCAGTGTTTTCCAGAGTAGCGACTTTTTCACAGACTCAGCCCCCCAAAGTATAAAACAGCTCTCTAAATCTAAACTCAGCCTGAACACTTCGATCACGTTCTCGCACCACTCCAAAAATTCTGATTCTATAAGCGTGTCGACTACGACGGACAGTATAACGCTTCTGGACGGGCACATTTATCCTACACCCCCGAATACTCCTCACTGTGGCGACGGTTTCGCGCAGTATATTATAGACGCTTCGATACATGTTAATATAGCGGTGGAGTTGGAAAGCGAGAAGAAGTATGAGGCGGCTTTTACGGCATACAAAACGGCGATTGATATTTTGTTGAAATACGGGAAAGGTAGTTTTTTGAGGTGGTGTGATTTTGGGTGATTTTAGGGTTTTAGATGATAAGGATTATGAGAGGAGGCAGATGGTGAGGTATAAAACAGATAAATATTTGATTCGGGCTGAGAAAATTTATAACATGTATCTGGCGACGGAGGTGCAGAATCTGAAGCAAATTGTAAGTAGAAGTGAGGTTTATTTAAAATGTTTAAATAAAAGAGTTTTGATTATGTTCCTATTTTTATATGAAAGTGTCTAAAATTGCAATATATAGTGAGTTTTTTGCGCACATCATAAGTTAAATCGTGATAATGGTTTTTCTATTGCGGATTTTCAAATTTTTTTGGGCACGCACTTAGTTCACAATACTTTTTACAAATTCTGATAATTGTTAGAACCAAAGAAGTAAAAATAGTCCATTTAAAAATAGAAATAATTCCATCATTTTAATCATTTTACTTGATAATTAATATTTTTGATGACATTTGTGCCCTGACATTTACATATATGCAATAAAAAAAATTCCATTTATACAACTCAAGAACTTAAGGTCAAATGGTTATGGCCTATCATTATAATTTTATTGTGACAATTTTTGGTAAATTGTGTACAAAATTATATAAACTAAGCGTCTGTTGAAATCCGTATTGAAAAAGTTATCAAGTTGATCTTGATTTTTGTAAGCATTATGAAGTATGTCTACAATATCTGTAAAATGTCAATAATACACAACCAGATGTATTAATAAAACACATACGTTTTTCGCTATATTTTCTCTTGTCAAAAAAGCAACGCCAACTGGATAGTTTTTTTCAATGAACATCGTTATCTGCTACGTTTAGAAACTAGATATCAGAAATATTGTAAAACAAAATAATAAAGTAATATTAGTGTTATCAAAAGTTGTATAGTAACTTAATTGATATCTTTCCAATTAAACTTTAGCATATGCACATAATAATGATTATGTAACATTTATATTTTACATAATATCAAAAATGAAGGGCCAGTTTATAAAATATCTTAACTGAGATTAAGTTAATCACGCATTTAACGAGGCGTTTAGCGATGTCTGATTGGCGTAGAGTTGGTCACGTGGTATCTTAACCTTCAAACCTTTGTTGCAGTGAAAAATTAAAATGTGAAGTATTAATATTTTCTTGATTTACTTGTTTCTATTTTGAATAGAATTTTTCAGACAGTTATAAAACTGGTATCAAAAAATGTCCATATAAACACAAAGTTCGTATACATGTGTAATTAGCGCGTTTGAAAGTGTTGAAATATTAAAATTTCCTTTATTTTTTTAATTGTTTTTTGGCGGTATGATTTTTTGTTTCCTTCGATTTGAAAATATGTGATACCATCGTTTCCAAAAAATTTTGGGTAAATGACATTGACATGAAAGTCAAATTCTCATTGCTTTTCATTGATCTATGAGAACTTGATTTGCTCATTTTGCCCGAAATTTTTTGGAAACCCCTATATTATTTGAATTTTTTGTATTATTATTTAAAACATGTTTATAAACAGTCGAATATTTTGTAAATGTTAAGATTTTTCAACATTAACTACAACAGAATTTTATTTTTTTGTTTCAAACATTTTCAGATGATTTATATTTTACACAGTGAAAAACCAAGTTAATATTATTACTAGTTTTAATGAAAAAAAAAAGTTAATTTTTTTGTAATTCAGTTTTTTCCTCTGGGTTTTCCACAAAATTTTTGACTGCATACATTTTGTAACAAATATACAGTTGCCGCCAAAAAATTTCAGACGTCAATGTCATTCAGTCGTCAGATAGTGTAAAGCAACCTTTAGATGTTTCTAACCTAATATTTGACAGTCATTTTTAACTTTTACATTTGACACTTACATGAATGTGGCTGTAGCGTAAGCTGGAATTTTGAAAGTTTGACATTCCAGCTGTCCGAAATAATGACAATAAAGTATAGACTACATTAAAATTTTTGACATGATAGAAAAGTGATGTTTGAAATTTTTTGTCGGAAACTGTATATATTTAAAAATTAGCGTATACTGTTAAAAAAATCAATTTCTGGTATTTTTGTATGTATATATATGTATTTGTCTAAGGAAAGGAAGAATTGTAACAGGGTCCATTAAGCGACTGGCTACTTTCATATTTTTTCGACGTTTCATGACCCAAAGTATGAAAAAATTGGTCTCCGCCTATCGTCTGTCTGTCGTGTGTGTCGATTTTTATTAGACAGTTTGATGATTTCACCTCAAAATTGTGCGTGTTATATAAATTTTGTAAAATATCATACTCTTGTATTTGTGGTTCATGAATTTGCCTTGATTTTGTTTGTTATTATTATATTTTGTATTATTCACTATTCCTCGTTGTACTATATTTCCGATATAGATTTTTTTTACATTCTAAAAGTTGGGGAAGTTATCAAATAAATGTATATAAACAATCGTAATTAGACCGTCGATCGCTCCTCTTTCTATTCTGATTTAATAGTTTCTTAGAATAACGCGTTTATATCAATGCAAAATCTCGAGTCCTTTAACAATCATCTGCTTTCTTTAATATTTCTATATTTATGGTTGTTGTGAGTGAAACCTTATTTACAAATCATAAATTACAATACAGTTTATTGTTTTTATTTTCCCAATGACTATTTGGACTAATTTCAGGTTTTCTCGACGTTTCGTACCCCTAGAGTATTAAAAAGTAGGTTTCGCGTTACTGTCTGACTGTCGCCTGTTGCTGATTTTATTGAACATACAATTTTCGAAACTACTGGACTGATTAGATGATAAAATGCTAATAGATTTTTGGAAAAAAAATTGGTCGAAAGTTATTTCGACAGGACTTCCCTCGTCCCCGAAGTGCAGTGCCACAAATCCCGCTTTTTTGATAAATAAAAAAAATTGATTTTGCGAATTTGTATTCAATAAAACAAGTACAAGAGTATGCTATTTTACACAATTTATTACAAACATTTTAGAGATGTCATGACATTGACATTGGGTAAATTTTGGTTAGCGTTTCACTATCTACACGATATTCCTAACATACATATAAAATACAATCGGTCCGGTAGTCCTGGAGATTATCTGTCTAATATAAAGACGGGACAGCAGACAGACAGACAGACGGACGGAAACGGGAGACCTATTTCTTCCTACTCTAGGGGTCATGAAAGGTCGAGAAAACGTAAAAGTAAAGAGTCGCCCGACGGACTCGATTACATTACTCCTTTGCTTACGCTCAGGAAGTGATAAATCACAAGTATAGACTCATTTTGTGAAATTTTGGGATGACGTCATCAATTTTTTAGGGGGGATGAGCAAATACATTTTGATCAAAAATTTTCCATAGTTATGATAACTCTAAAATATCTCGAAGATTTCAAGGCAATCGGTTTTGCAGATTCCAAATTAAATTGCAAAATATTGGTTCATAATTTTGATTTTTTTTCCAAAAATCTGAACGTTTCGGGTAAAAACTCAATTCGGAGTCATAAACTACATGTGTAGGACTATGTTATACAATTTAAAACCCATTTTCTATGTACAATTTTGAAGTCTGTCTGTCTGTCTGTCCGTCTGTCGTCCCGGATTTTTATTAGACAGATAATCTCCGAAAGTACTGGGCCGATTGTTGTCAAATTTTGTATTTATATTAAGAATATTATGTAGATGGTAAAACGCTAACCAAAATTTGTCTAATCATTGGTGGGAATAATGTGATGACGTCACTTTAAAATTGTCACAGTAAATGGATTTCAAATTGTATAAAATAACATAGTGCTGCACATGTAGTTTATGATTCCGTATTGAGTTTTTATCCGAAACGTTCAAATTTTTGGAAAAAAATCAAAATCATAAAACAATATTTTGTGATTTCATTCTGAATCTGCTAAACCGAATGCGTTGAAATCTTGGAGATGTTTTAAGATTATAAAGAGCATAATAAATTTTTAGTCAAAAGATTTGCTTATCCCCTCCAACAAATTGATGACCTCAGCTCAAAAATTTGCCGAATAATTCCTATCTAAAATGTAAAAAATATGATGAGTTTGTACTTGTAATTTATCATTCCATTCATATTTTTTGGATTTGCATATACAGGGTGACTAAAAAAATTAATGAATGCGTAAATTTATTTTATTGATTTAATCAAGAACTACAAAACCGAATGCTTTGAAATCTTGGAGATGTTTTAAAGTTATCATAAGCATGGTCAATTTATGATCAAAATGTATTTGCTCATTCCCCTAAAAAATTGATGACGTCACCCCAAAATTTTACTGAATAAATTCTATCTAAAATGTACAAAATATAAAAATAATATTAATATTTTTTTGGATTTGCGTATACAGGGTGACTGAAAAAAAATTATCATTGCATTTCAGAAGCGAGGGAACAACTTTCGACCAATTTTTTTGCGCTATATTTTTGTCGTCATTTTTTCGCCTTTTTTGCTGTTTTTACTTCCAGCGCGTAAGTTTGGCAACTGCTATTTAAATTTTATAAAATAACATACATAACTCAAGTTGTGGCTTATGAATCTGCCTTGATTGTTTACCCTAGACGTCCAGATTTTTGCAAAAAATCCAAATTTTATAATAACATTTTATAACAGTACAAGTGGAGCGCACAGTAGTCGCCGATTGGCTCGGTTGGTGAAGGGTCAGGCTAATAATGCAAAGGTCACGGGTTCGATCCTTTCATGGGTCACTTTTTTTCTTACACTGTAATTGGTATTACGTATATTTTTTAACTTATAGTTATTATTATAAAATAAATATAATTTCGTATAATCAAATTTTATAATTTTCCTATGAAGCTGGATTTGTTGGATTTTTTGTTCTTTTTTTTTCTGTACCGGTTTTTGGGCCCCAATTTTATCGATGTTTTTTTGATTGTTTTTTGTGTTTTTTCGTCGTTTTTCTTGTCTTTGTTAAAAAGTCGACGACATCATCACAAAATTTTCACAAATTCACGCCGGTTACTGATGTTTTTAGACAAAAAATGAGGACACCCGCAAGCACGACGATCGCTACTTACAACGACCAATCTCAGACCTCTACAAATACAAAGTCGTTCGAGTCATCGCCTCCGGTATGTTAGTGCTGCACGCCGAACTCCAGCAACTCTTTTATATAAAGGTTATACACAAAACCATGAAATTCCTCAACGACAATTTAATTTTACCTGAAAACGTGCCTTATATGGTTAGACTACACAACTACTACAACTGCGAAAATGCCTTATTTCTAGTTCTAGAGTACTGTAGGTAAGCCAGAACCGAAAACACGAAAACCTGATAACTAACCCCGAAATTCCAGCGGAAAGCAACTTTGGGACTACCTGAAATACCGCTCGGAAAACCCCGACGACGTTTACCCCCACGACCAACTCCTGCGCCAGGTCCAGGACATGGATCTCTCCGACCCCGAGTCCGAGCACAGCTACAGCGATCTAATCAACGATTACGCAAGCAACAAAAGCAAGAACGTCCGAAGTACAAAATGCGATGTCGAAAATGATTTTCTGAGCAGCGACGATAGCTACGAAAAAGTCAATTTAGGAGATTTAATCAGCTCGAATAGGAACTTAATGGACGAACCTGTACCATCCGGCGTTCGCCTTCCAGACTTATTAACAAAATCGTCACAACTCGATTGCGAGATAAAGAGAAATTCAGGAAACAACGGCTCGGTTGCAGACAGGAGGAAGATCAGCGAGATGTCGAGTTTTGACGATGTCGACATAGCGCAGAGCTTTCTGGTTCCTGTGGGGGACGTGGTGAAGTGGGCGGCTCAGCTGGTGTTGGCGCTGGAGAAGCTGCACACCTTAGGGGTCACGTGTCAGTAAGTGTGCAGCGAGCGAAGCGAGCTTTCTAACTTATAGGGTTTTTGTAAACAAATTATTTGCTTTTAAGGGACTTGCAATCTCATAATTTGCTTGTGGACGAAGATGGCGACTTAATTTTGACGTATATGTGCAATGCTAACGAGATGTCGGAGGTGTTTTGTAACGGGAGGTCACTGCTTGTAGCACCTGAACTGTATACGTTTGAGCCCATCACAAACGCGGTGGATTGGTGGTGTTTCGGCACAATCTTGTACGAGCTTCTAGTTGGAATGGTATTGACATCTTTGCTATTATTTCTGTTATTAATATTGTTGCTTTCTAGCCTTTAAGTTCGATTCATCCCGATGGTCTGTCTAGTTGTACTAATTTGAAGATTCCTAGGTATGTTTCACCCGAGGGGAGATCGTTGCTGAGACAGGTATGAATGATGATTTTTTGTGCAAGAATATATGTTTTCTTTTAGTTGTTGACGACTGAGCCACAGAAGAGGTTAGGTTTCGGCGTCAACGGCACCGAAAGCTTGAAGTCTCACCCGTTCTTTCATTCAGTGTCTTGGGAGAATTTGCTTTCAAAGTACAATTATTGATGTTTTTATTTCAAAGTGACTGATTTTTGTCTTATTGTTTCACTAGTTTGTATGCTTTAACTCTTGTTATTGTTTTCACGTTTATACAGTATTGAACACTTTCATTATAGACATTCCGTGTATTTTGTTGCTCTTTTACGTAAATAATAAAGCTATTTTAGAAAAGGGATGTTGTTTTTTTAATATGACCCACCATTAAAAACAAAAAGAAAAACAAATATGAATGCCAGAAGAAACAAAAAAAAACACGAAAAAATTAATGAAGGGACTAATTTTTCATTTGTCTCGTTTCAACTACTATCTAGAAATCACGTGGTTGCTAAGTGGCCGATTTTTCTTGATTCAAATAGAAACGACTCGATTGGAGAGAAGTGGAAAACACCACGTAAGAAAACTGGTGCCCGAGAACAAATTTGATAACGAGTTCTTGTTTTCTAAGATTCAATATGTCGCATCCATTACTACTAACAGAACGACTGAAGTTAATATTGGAAACGATAAAATATCTAGGGATGAACAGATACACTTTATAGCAGGATACGTACAACATAAACAATTGGTCGAGGGTTATTTCGACCTCTGTAAGTACCTTTTGGGTCGTCTATCCGTTTAAGTATCGGTTTCTGGAATCGCCGCCCTCGAGCGAAAAACCGTACCACCGTCACCGTTTTTTTTTTCGCGCGATTTCCAGCTTCAAGGTCGCCGCCCCTACGTCCAGGAGGAACGACCGTACCGGACGTTTAATTCTTTTTGTTTATTTAATTTGTCCTGTAGTTAATTAAGACGTAGCCGTAAGATTTATTATTTTAGCCGTGTAGTTGGTGGCAGGGAATAAACCCGATTTATTGTTTAAAATATTCCTTGCCGTCTTATTTTATTATCTTGTTTTCGCGGGCGCTCACCACCTGAGATCCGTGTCTCCGGCTTGAGAATAACCCCGGCGCTCCCTCCCCCAGAGCTTAGATCGGCTAGACGTGTTTTTAAATCAACGGCGCTAGTCGGCCCAAGGTACGCCGCCACCACACGTTATCGGCGAGATTTGGGACCATTCGTCCCGTCCCACCGGAATTTCGTCGCAGTTTTATACGTAGAGATTTCCCTTGAGCAGGAGTGAAATAAACTTATAGCAAAATACGTTTGAAGTAGACAGAATAATAGCCCCATAACAAGCAACGTGGTCAATGACCACGCTTTATCGAACTTCTCTACACCTGCAGTCTACAGTCTACGACGGATGACGAAGTACACGGTTACACGCAACACATTGCATTTCAATTATATAAATTTCTTTAAAATTACTAAGTCGGAGTGTCATCTGTTATTCAAGAAATATTACGTCTCAAAGCTGAAAAAAATTAACTTCTAGAAACGATTAGAATTTAAAAACAGTGTTTTAAATATTGTTATAAAATTTTGATTTTTTCTCCAAAAATTTAGATGTCTGGGGTAAAAACTCAACACGGATGCATAAACTACAAGTGTGGGAGTATATTATTTTATAAACATTAAATAACATTTACTATTGTAATTTTGGAGATGACGTCATCCCATTGTTGATGGGGATGATTACAAAAAATTTGGTTACTTTTTTTATTTACACGAGATTCCAAACATAGAATAAAATTTAAAAACAATAATCGGTCGGGTACTTTTGAAGATTATTTGTCCAATAGACGGCATGCAGCAGACGGCAGACAGACAGGCGGACGGAAATAGGAGATCTATGTTTTCATTCTCTAGGAGTTACAATACTTCCTTAGCCTACGCTATGGAAGTTTTCGAAATATTTGTGTTCAAAATCGAATTTATAAAATGCTGAAAATTTACCATATTTCATTTTTGGTGTTTCTGAAAAAATGGTAGCAATTTTTGAATACATGAAGCCGTAAAAATGTATTTAGGTGAAAATCAATATCCGACGGTGCTCGTGAAAAGGTAAAAAATTTCATACTGTATTAATAAAAGTGTGGTTTTGCGAAGTTGCTCAAAAATCCAAAAAACAAAATCTGGAAGATTTCGACGAGTTGAGCAATTGTAGCATTTTCCTGAAGAGGCTTGAGAAAGATCTACGAAGAATTTTGAATACTTATTCTAACTTAAAAAACTGGTGCCCGAGTTTTTGCCGACTTGCTTGTTCAGATCACGAGTGCCACCACATGCTACTTAATAAAGAGCTAAATTTTGAGTGCGAGCAATGTATGTATAATTAATTTAAGCCCCACAAAAACTTAAATAGTTCTAGATTTGAAGGGTAGCTAGTAGGTATAGAGTTCCATTTAGAAGATAATTTTCTTTAATAGTTATTAAAGTAATCATAACAGAGTGTAAAATAGTCTCTGACGTCACCAATCAGTTCTTAATTCCTCAAACTACCACTTCCCATTTTTCTTTTTCCTGCAGTGCTCTTTAATCAGCCGCTTCCGATCGAGACGCCCACTTTTTTATCTCTCCGTCACTGTACATAACGTAACTCGGCTATAAGTAATTAATTTTCCTTTGGAAGTTAACAGGATTTCTTTGTTCGCTGATTTCTCAGCTAATTACATTTTACAAATAGGAGTTTTTTTCTGTTCTTGTTTTGGCTGGAAGCGTCGACTTGTACAGCAATTGGGTCTGAGGAAACGCATCCATTTTGTTCTGTTCACCAACAGCTGTCCCTGCGGTATATTACGGCAAGGGAGGGTGCGACATGTAATTATACATCACTTCATTATATTTCGCTAATTACTTTCAAATGGCTCCTGTTCAACTTTCTTAGCTAGGGAGAGACCTTCTGTGTGATACAGAGTTAAATGGTCGCGTAATTTCACGTGTTTAACATGGACCAAGAAAGGGAGTCGAGTTCGGGCTCGTTTCGCTCCGAGGCCCGAAAAAGTCGAGTCGGAATTTAAAGCGCACAGAAGCGCAGAATTTACATACTTTTTTGTGCAGCATGTAGAGCGGCAGGTCTGTTTTTGTGCAGTAGAGGGACTACGACTGCAAGGTGCAGCTGGATAAGCATACATTACTTTCGTTGTTTTTTCGCTAGCGAACTAAAAATTTAATTAAACTCCTACGTCCGCGCATTTTTTGCCTCTAATCCGTCCGACTTCCGAGTTTTCTATTAAACAATCCCGATCGGATAGCAGCGTCTAAAGTGACGTCAGAGGAACGGATAGCTGGGGCCCGAGGGCCATCCCTTTGTAAACCACTCGAAATCAGTTCCAGGATTGTGATAAGAGGAATCTTGGGTCAGAGTTGTTTGAGCTTCGCCTTTTAAACTCAATTCCGCTGTTTTTAAAGCGCGACTAGTTAACAGCTACATAATAAAGGCTCGGATAATTTTCCACTAGAAGCTCCGCACCAGCTAATAAAGTGAAAATATAACAACGAAGTAATTAGAAAGCGCAAACATTAAACAAATTGTCTCTGGTTTCCGCAATACGAACACTGTTCGGATTAAGCACTACACGCAGAAAAGTTTTACCAATTATTTGCTGCTTCATATAATTTAATTAAGCAGAGAAGGTGGTGGATTGTCGAGGAGGTGGTGGAAGGAAATTGTGCTTGAGTTGTGCGTCCAATAGTTTGATTTAATGCAGGAAACATATTTAACTTAATTTAATCACGTAACAAGTTTTAGCTTGTTATTCTGTATCTATACATTAACAAAACGTGGACACCGAAGCAGCGACGTAGGTAATGACGTTAGGAAAAAATCTAACTACTCCTATATCTAAAATAGAGGAAGGTTTCAAATTAGACTGGAATAGTTTGCTGAGCTGGTAAGATTAAAAGAAAAATTGAGAAATATTATGAAGTTGTGATGGACCAAGGAAATAAAAGTTACAGTGAAACAGAGGAGAATTTGAAAAATGAACTAAGCAATAACTAGAAAAACGGGCGAGTTTCAGGATCAATAAAGTAGTGCCACTACATAGAAACGAGGACAGATGCAATAGAAAGGAATAATTGAAAGCAAATATTGAGCACACTCGAATTCAAAGGTCATCAAGATTAGCAGGCTAAGTTTAATGTACTTGATTTACCTTGATGACTTCGATTTGGTTGGAGAAAAAGAACCATTTTAAAGCCACACTGATATAGTGGTTAAAATCTGTCAAATCGGTTCGACAGAGATTTTAACCTATAGGAAATTTTATCAAGATTACAAATATTTGTTTAGTTTCTTCGTATGTCTTTAAGTAACGCAGAAAAAAAATTTGTAAACGATTTTATTATTTTCCCGGCGCATCCACCATTTTTATGCACATAATTGAAATTTATCATTGGACATACCAGAAGTTTTAGCGTGTTGGAAATCTTCTCAGGATCACGAATTTGTGTTTATTTTCGCCCTGTCTCTAAAAGTAACGAAGAGAAAGTTATTAATATACCTATAGAAAAATCATTGTTTGTATACTTTTATTTTTTATATTGTTCATATTGGTTCTATTAGTTTTAAACGAAGAAAAAGTATAATAATCTGCGAAGTGTGACCTTCTACAGGGTCGGTTCTGGTAAATAAGGAAGCAGGAAGCGTGTCTGTTATAAACTGACATCAAAGGAATATGATGGGATTGCCAACAACAGGAACAACAGAACATGTGAGAACACTGATAAGTGAATTATTGAAAGAACTCAAACCTTTGTGATAACTCTCAGATTGTTGGTTAAACTGTAAAATTTTATGCAAATTATATGCAGGAACTAATTATTAACAATATAAATAAACAAAATAAATTCGTAGAATAAAAAAAGTAATAAAAGATTGAAATACTTCCTCGAATGAGTGGTGCATCATTTCAAAATCATTTTTGGATTTTCGTGAATATAGAACTCTCTATGTCGTTGTAGAAGTGTTATAAATCATTCGAAAAGTAAAATTCATATAAATATTTGTGCACTATACAGTTGATAAGGCTTTTTATTTTTGAACTTAGGCAACCAATAATACGTCAAATGAAGATTTCGCTGTTCCATTAAAAAATCGTCAAGCTGGTCTTGTAAATATTGTGAAGTATGTCTACAATAAACCTAAAATCTATCTACAATAGCTGAAAACGCGACAGTTGTGCATAATTATGCACTACCGCATGAATTAATAAACGACATGTATTTTCTGCTACGTTTTCTTCTAACCCAACTTGAAAACTTTTTCGACTCAACATCGGTTATAAAATGAT